TTAGAGTATGGCGTTGAAAACTGGGGAAATACATACAAAAGCTCACTTCAACCATTGTATATATTACAAAAAAGAGCGATAAGAATTGTGCATAAGATGGGATATAGGGATCACACCAATGTAGCTTTTATACAGTCTAAATTGTTAACATTTTTTTTGATTTAGTGGGATACAAGACTGTTGTGTTTATGTATAAAGCCAGGAACAATTTATTACCTGGTGGAATTCAAAAACTATTTAATGAAAGGGAAGGGGGATACAATTTAAGGGGTCAGTTAAATTTAAAAATTCATGCTATACGTACAACCAAAAAAAGATTCTGTATTTCTATAAGTGGGGTAAAACTATGGAATAATTTAAGTGTATTTAAGTGTAAGTGACATACAAAATAATAATAGAATTGACGAGTTTAAGAATGTAATTATGTAAGAATGTTAACACTCTGTTATAATTCTTTAGTATATTACTTGTGTGGTGTAGAAGAGAATTATCTATGTAGAGATACTGCTTGCAAACCAATGATGGTAAGATGATGTCATGGGGTAGGACTGGATAAGTCTGACTTCTTCCTACTCCATTCAAGCATGTACTAGGTATAAGCAAATTGATACTGGATTAGCATTTGTTGGATATGTGTAAAATTATGTGTGTTGATATATCAACTGTCTTTACATGCTTGAAAGAATAAATAAATCAAATCAAATCAATCAAATATAATAAGCTTACTAGGTAATACCTTTAAGTTAGTGTTTTAGCCACGCTATGTTAAACAATGTGCTTAACGAGTGCTATAAAATTAAACAAACCGTTAATTTGGGATACTTTATTTTAGATTAGCAAATATTCGTATCTTAGAGATTTTTGGGAACCGTTACTTTTTATTAGCATGTCTACACATATCTTAAACGTTGGCTTTAATCAGAATATTGGTGGGGAATCAGTTGTTCCGATATGTTTTACCATTTCCCAACTTCTGTGAACGCAGCATAAGTCGTCACCCAGAGATGACGTCCGCCAAACAGCACAGTTAAAAACCCCATTGGAAGCGTCTTCAGATGATACATAAACCAATTTCAGAACAAAAACGATAAACATAAGCTACCAACAGTAATTATGTCTGTGAATTATGCAGCTGGGCTCTCGCCGTACGCAGACAAAGGTGTTTGCGGACTTCCTGAGGTAAAATACAGTACTTAGTTCTCTAAACAGCTAGCTAGCTAGCAGGTTAGCCGAGGATATGTTTCATGTCCAGTCTCTAGTTTGTAATGGTGGGAGAATATTTACTTAACGTTAGACTCTTTAAAGGGAACTAGGTAGTCCATTACCGGACGAGGGCTTGTATTTCAGATTTTACTTAGGAATGGGAGCAAGTTATCAGCCAGCAGCAGAGAGTATGCAAGTGTTAAAAATACTCTGTTTATGATATATCTATTGTATTTTTTAAAAAAAGCAAAGATTTCTGTGTGCTCAGTTGAGATGCGTTAGCTTATCAGTCGCTGTTGAAACTGGACGGGTTGTTAAGTTGGAAGAAGAAAAGCTGATGTTCAGTGTATTGGTACACTTTTGTTTTTGTGTGTATCTTATCAAAGGATGCAAGTTTTGTAAAATAGCAGTGTCTTACAGTCCCATGTGGGATGGGCCAGATATTTGCCATGCCTCCTCTAGTCTACATGAAGAAGTGTCCTTGGGCAAGACACTGAAACCCAAGTTGCCCCCAGTGATATTGTCAGTGTGCACACTACTGCTATTTCTTATATAGCATATAGCTCGCTCCTAAAATTGATTACACAGTAAATGAACACATCTAATTCCCAAACACTCTCGCTGGGTCAAAAGTACTGCAACATTTGGCTCTGCCAGTAACCTACTGTATTTTGTTTTGTGGCAGGTGTTTGATAGTCCTGAGGAGCTGAAAGCGAAGGTGGAAACCCTTGCTCAGATGATAAAAGAATCTCAGTACTTGGTGGTCCACTCTGGAGCAGGAATCAGCACCTCAGCAGGAGTCCCTGACTTCAGGTGAGGCACAAACAAAGTTTCTATGACATTTTTCTTGTGTCACACTTGTTTTTAACAAACGCTGCTTTTCACTCTCAGCCATGTTTTATGTTCATGGACACGATGAGGAAGGAAATACTAACCTCCCCCTCAAATACTGATGGAAAAATGCTTACATCATACCTGATGAGAAAACAAGAGTCACTGAATGGGCTGAAATAATCAGCCTTTTGTCAGGTAAATGACAAAGAAGTACAACAATAACAACAAACAATACCTGTGAACATGAACAGCTGCTTTGCAGCAGTTCTTAATTTCATCACATCTTGGAGCCACTGAGGCCTGACACGGCTTGACAGTAGAGCTCTTAACACACAGTTACTGATAATCACATCTCCAGACCCTACAGGGTGCACAGCGTGTCCTTTTCTTTCAGTGATCTAAATGTGAGCTGAGGCGAAATCTGTAAACCTCACTGTACTGTGTGTGTGTGTGTGTGTGTGTGTGTGTGTGTGTACGCGCACGCGCACGCGCCTTTGTATTATTTGCATTATGGGGACCGAAACCTGTCACAACACTCACATTGTTGGAACTCGGCCAAATCAGTGAATTTTAGGGTGGCAACATGGTTTAAGGTTAGGTGTTAGGCAAGTAGTTAAGGTTAGGATAAGTCTTCAGGAAATTCATGCAAGTCCCCACAAGGAATGAAAACGCAGCGTGTGTGTGTTTTTTGTCATGGTGCTTCAAGCAAATTGATGTTCTTTGAGTGAAGGACTCAATTCATGACAGCTATTTAGATAAATATAAAATCTGTTTTATTTCTTGGTTTCAATAAATCAACAGGACAATTGAAGAAACGCAGAGTATATTTCAATTTGTATAGCACCAAATAACAAAAGTCATCTCAGGGCACTTTACATAATAAGGTCTAGACCTTCTAGTATTATAGAGGAAAAAACCCATCAAATCCCCCTTGAGCAAGTACTTGCCGACAGTGGAGAGGGGAAAAACTCCCTTTAACGCAATAAACCTGTTGTGTGGCCAGTGAGCCTGTACCACAACCAATAGATATTTTGCTTGAAAGTCAGCTTGTTCCACTGCTGTGGTTCATATAATGGGCATCTCTTGGCTATGTTTGCTGTGTCTCGTGTAGTACCACTGTTTGAGCAGATGAGGGTGGTACTTACTTAATACATACTGTATGTCAGATACACCTCTCATATAAGTCATGATTCCTCTTGTTCTCTTCCATTATAATGCAAGAATTTCATTGGGAAAATACAGTTTTACCCCAGATAGCCAAGTGGTCACACAGAAAATAGAGCTCAAATAATTTTACTCAGCAATACACTGATGTGAGTGACAGATGGGTATGTGTGCGAATCTAGATGCACATGCTTGGCCATGTTGGCTGTGGAAACTGATTCATATTTCATCGTTCTGCCTGTCAGTCAGATGGAGATGATCTTGGCACTCTCATTATAGCCGAGGTTCTTATGTACACATCTGGCCCACTCATGCAAATTATAATTCCCACTGTTGCCAGGAACACACCACACAAATTGCTTAGCCCCGAAGATTAATACAACTGACGACGCCACAACCTGTGATTTTACCAGCCCTGCAGATTTTTTTGCAGTTTTCATGTCGAGCAGGATCTTTATCACAGGGATAAGCTCTATGTAATAAATGAAAACCTGTAACTGTGTGCTGAGATTTTTACAGGTTTTGGGAAATGTTTGTAAGAATACTTTTGTTTAATAGAATTTCTCCTCTTTTCTTCATAGATTTTAGAGTTTGGAGAATCTTTGCGCAGTCTTTATTTCTCCATTATATTTTCAGTGGGCTTGGACTTGTGACATTTAACAGCATGTCGCCAATTTGGTAAACAAGCTTAGCAGAAGACAGGTACTAGACACGCCAGTACTAGACACATAATGTCTCCAGTTTGCCCACTGCATTACCATCTGTCCAATCCTGGTTTTAACTGTTTTGTCTCTTCATCGCTATATCTGTGTCAGGGGTCCAAAAGGTGTGTGGACACTAGAAGAAAAGGGCGAGTCACCTCACTTTGACACCACATTTGAAGATGCCCGGCCCAGCTTGACTCACATGGCCCTGCTGGGACTGCAGAGGGCCGGCTACCTCAAGTACCTCATCAGTCAGAACGTGGATGGGCTACATGTCCGATCAGGTTTCCCCAGGTAACTCTGCCCTGCCTCCTGCTCTGTAGCACGATAATCACACCTCAGACATTTTACACACTCATAGCCGTCAGTGTGCACAGAGCTGGATGTCATCTCACAGATACAGTGCATCATGTTTAGTACTCATGAAGTAATTTAAACCTTTTCCCCACACGGGGGCAGTGGAATTAGCTGTAAATACAGCACTGTGGGGCTGCAACTAATAACTAATTTGTTGAGTCATTAGTTCTATGAAACTTTAGTGAAAATAAAATAGTGAAATTGGCCATCACATTTTTTAGCACACCAACCAGTGTCACCGCTTATTGCCTGATACTCATTTTCCTGTAAGACAAGGAAAAGAGGCAGTTTATCAATTTTGTGAGACAGAAACATTAAAATGTTTATTATTTTGTTTGAAAAAATGATTGTAGATGATCAGTTGATTGCTACTGGGAACCAGACTGATGGGACCTGTGGAAGTGAAGAAAGCTGCGGGTCATAAAAGCAAAGTATTTTGTGTGAATCCGTTTGCTTCCATTGTTCTACTGTCAGAAAGAGCACAGATGTGCCGTGAAGACAAGTTAGAGAATTTTTTAGAGGAATTCAGCATCCTCTCGACTCTAGGTGTGATATCTATAGCTGCTTAATGTTTCTCTTCATAGAGACCAATGTAGAGTATTTCTCATTTAGATTCCAGCAAAATGGAATCTGTTGAAAAGGATGGATGAAATTTAAAAGTTTAGTCTACAGTAGGTCGACCTCATCATCAGTGAGCCTTGGGCGTCCATGACCTTGTTGCCACTCCAGACCAGGAACACTCATCAAGACCTGCTGTCAACACATCAGCTTAGAGGACTGAATGTTCACTTGCTGCATAATATACCCCACACACTGACAGGTGCCACTGTAAAAAAATAATCAGTGTTATTCACGTCATCTGTCAGTGGTCATAATGTTATGGTTGATCGATGTAAACTAAAGTTGACCTAGTGCTAATATAAAAAGGTTTAATTAGTGCAGCTTAAAATATAATATACGCTGTATTACTGACTGCAACAAAGTACCCAGTTTTCACAAGTACAGACAACTGTGTGCTCCATTTTCAAAAATATATACACTGCCTGACAAAAGTCTTGTCATCTATTGATGATTTTAAAAAACAGCTGAAGTCACATTTATTTAGAGAGTTTTTTAATTGATTGGGTTTATTCATTTTATATTGTGTTGTGCTATGTGAGTACTTTTTAGGCTTATGTATATTATTTATCTCTTTTTATCTTTTGACTTTGTAAAGCACTTTGTGACCTTGTCTGTGAAAGGTGCTATATAAATAAAATTTACTTACTTACTTACTTACTTACTTACTTACATGTGAGGCATTGAGTCATAGGCTTTCTTGTAGTCAATCCAGGCAGTGCACAGGTTGGTATGCCTGGTCTTGCAGTCTTGAGTGACTATCAACCAGTAGCTGGTGCTTTGCTCCTCTGGTGTTACTACCAATTCCTTTCTGGGTGCTGCTCATGTATTGAGCCATGTGCCTGCTCATCTTAGCTGCTACAATGGAATGGTTCACAAATACACATATCCAGGTGTTAGAATGGCCAAGTCAAAGTCCAGACCTGAATCCAATCGAGCATCTGTGGAAAGAACTGAAAACTGCTGTTCACAAACGCTCTCTATCCAACCTCACTGAGCTCGAGCTGTTTTGCAAGGAGGCATGGGCAAAAATTTCAGTCTCTCGATGTGCAAAACTGATAGAGACATACCCCAAGCGACTTACAGCTGTAATCGCAGCAAAAGGTGGCGCTACAAAGTATTAACTTAAGGGGGCTGAATAATTTTGCACGCCCAATTTTTCAGTTTTTTATTTGTTAAAAAAGTTTGAAATATCCAATAAATTTTGTTCCACTTCATGATTGTGTCCCACTTGTTGATTCTTCACAAAAAATTACAGTTTTATATCTTTATGTTTGAAGCCTGAAATGTGGCAAAAGGTCGCAAAGTTCAAGGGGGCCGAATACTTTTGCAAGGCACTGTACTTACCTATACAAGTTGTAGGAACAACAAATAATAACTTGACTTCTAGTTGATCATTTGGAAACAGAAGTGGCTTATATGAAAGGCAGAGGCGTCCAGATTTTATTTTGGTAAAATAAGCATAATCTAATCAGGCCCTGCAATGGACTGGCAACCTGTCCAGGGTGTACCCTGCCTTTGCCCGATTGCTGGCTGGGATTGGCTCCATAGATGATTCATCAGAAAAAAAAAATCAACCTTCTGCCACTTTTCCACTGTCCATCCTTCCTGCAAGCTGTGGGCCTTGGCAAATGCAACACCATTTTTTAGTTGTTCTTTGTTTAATGCTGGTTTCTGAGCACTAGTTCGGCCATTGAGACCACTGCATGAGAGAATTCGACAAACTGTTCTTGTAGATACAGGGGTTTCTGGTGACCAGTTTTTATGTAGCTCTGCTGTAGTTGAAAAAGGACTGGCCCTGGACTGTCGAAGCAACAAACAGTCCTCTCAAACAGTTGTCTTACGGGGTCCGCCTGACCCGGGCTTGTCATGAACTTCACCAGTTTCTTCAAACCTTTTTCTTATCACCTCCACTTGACGTTTAGATACATTAAAGATGTCTGCCACCTCAGCAGGAGACTTGGTCTTCAGGCTCTTGATGATCAGCACTTTAGTCTGTGGTTGAGTCTTTGGCATGCTGTCAGAGGTCAGGTTGCATTTCAAATGTAGTTTGGGTGTGCTGGGGTTCTTCTTATACACACCTGGGAATGTGTTAATTAGAGTATTTGTCACAGGTGACGCTCTAATCTGTGATTGGTTGAATCCTTTAAAGATACGGCAAGACTTTTGTCTTTGCAGAAACGGATGTTATGGGCTTTACCAAGCTGTGAATGTCAGGACACTTTTCGATGGTTTCATTTTGCACCCAGTTATTAATGTGAATGCCCTTGACATTACAATTAACAATTTATTGTGACAACTGAATGATTAGAAATAAAGTTATATGACATTTTAGGTTACCATGTCCTTATAGGACAAGACTTTTGTCAGGGAGTGTATTACATTTTAGAAATATAATGACGGTGATTGGGAGTGTAAGCTGAATAAGAAGGCACGAGTCGCTTATTTAGAAGAAAAGTTCTCAGCTGAACTTGTTCAGGAAATGCAGTGAATTCCTTACTCGTATAGTTTGACTGTTTTTTATTCATTTCTAATATTTTACAAATATATACTTTAGAGGATTGTAAGTTATGTGAGATAACCACATTGTGTCATGGTATGTTATTAGTTGGGTTGTGACACATTATTTTAAATTTAAAGCTGCTGCTTTGTGATAACAACTATAACAGCTGGAATCAATTTCTTAACTTTCCCTCTACTCTCAATTAGTCAGGCCAAACAGTGAAGCGGTAATTCTCTGAGGAAATCACTGAGGCAGCAGACGAGCTAGTCAACTAAACCCGTTGGCACTAACCTGCTTGGGTGTCAGGTGGAATACAAGTGCTCAGAATATTTGTCACAGAGCGAGTTACAAGGAAAATGGAGAAAATCTTGTGTTAGAGTCCTGACGTGAACTCGATCTGAGTGCATATCATCTCTGTGATCATTTTGTCAATATGGACTTTCTCCTTCCCGCTCTCTCAGGGACATGTTATCAGAGCTTCATGGAAACATGTTTGTGGAGGAGTGTGCGAAGTGCGGCAGGTACGTGCTCACACACACCAAATACTCATTTTCTGATCAATTACACTCTCTGACACTCATCATCTTCACAAGCTGCTGTTTTTCAGTAAATTTGAACTTTGAGGTTTTATTAGACTTTATTACCTGTTTGGCACCACAGCCCAGACTAAAGAAGCAGTCACTGTTCAGCTTGTGCACTAGTATCTCAGCTTCCTTGTGTCTGGTATTGTGGTTCTTGCTGACAGATAAGCTGTTTCCAGCAGCTCAGAATTCACCTGGGAGTTTCATTGCAGATCTCACACAGAGGAAGGGACGTGAGAGGCAAAAACTATGTGGTAGTATGTACGGTTTTGTGTTTGAAAACACCTTTTTGATAAGAGAGGTCAGAAGAGAAAGGCCAGACCTGTTAAGGATCACAAGAAGGCCACAAGTGTACAAGTAGCAGACTGTTGTTAAACTCTGAAGTAGAAGCCCTGTGGCCAGAAACATGCTGGCTTCCTTTCCTGTTGGGTAAGAACGAGTTATAACAGACGTGATCATTGAATGTGTGCAAAACAACAGTGCAAATCCATGAAAGGTAGAAGCCAGTGGTGTAATTGTGCAAGTAAAAGTTTATTTATATAGCACTTTTACAAACCAGGGTTACAGAGTGCTTCACAATAAGAAAAGGAAAATGGCAACATAAATAACCACAATAATAATAAATACTGTAAAATCTACAAACTATATAAACCTTCAGTACAATAATTCAAACAGTGTGTGAATAATTTCCTTCCTCCTACTTATTGCAGACCAGCTGCACCACAGTCTGCCCTTTTTCAAATGGAATCTTTAACACTTTCACACTTCATTTTACGCCAGTGGCGTAGACAGCCTTCAGATGTCAGAACAGAAAATTACCTCTGGGATAAAGAAGGACAGGAGGGTTGAAGAGCAAACATATGCATAGACAGCTCTGGGGCAGCTACATGATGCTGTCAAGTCCCTAAAGCTCCTCAAGAGCTTTACAGAAATCTTTCTGGACTCATGTTTTGAAAGAAATCGAACAATCTGCAAAAGTTGTGATGCCTTGTGTGTAAACTGACCTTGTCAGGGTGCTCGTGAGCAGCTTTGCCTTCTCTCCTGTAATAAACTAAAGCTGCTGTGGTCCAATTGTGGGATTTGTGGTTTTCCAGGCAGTATGTCAGAGAAAAGGTGATCGGTGTGATGGGGCTGAAGCCAACAGGGCGTTACTGCGACGTGATTCGCTCCAGAGGACTCAGAGCCTGCAGGTAACATACGTGTGGACTCGTGCATTTTGACACTACAAAAACAAAACCGTCTGCGACTCACTGTATTTGTGTGTTCCTTACGACAACAGAGGGAAGCTGATCAGCACCATACTGGACTGGGAGGATGCTCTTCCTGACAGAGACCTGAATAAAGCAGACGAGGCCAGCAGGTGTGTGTGTGAGAGAGAGAGAGAGAGAAAACTGCAGGAGGTTGTCTTTATTTCAGCACCTGTCTTGATCATCTTTGGCACACAGTACATACTCTTCTCTGTCCGGACTCTCTGTGACATCCCTATATTCATCTCACCCTAATTAGCACAAGCCTTGGTTGAGGAGCATCCTCTGAGCTCAGAATAATAGGTTGTAATATATTTGCTTTAGCCTTCAGTCTCAGCATCCTGACATGCAAATAAGCATTTATTTGAAAACCTTTTTAGGTTTTATGTTTACATCATGCGCTCCTTTAATGCTTCCATTTACCCCTTGTGTGTCAGTATTTCCATTCAATCTTTCAGCCACAAAGAGCTTTTACTGCTTTTCTAGAAACCAGCAAGATGAATTGGATGGACGGGTTTCAACATGATGCCCTGTCTGTGACCAATAATAGATGAGTGATACCCATTTAAATTACAAAGAGGAGATTTGGAGCCCTGACTATTGAACCAGAATTAAAACACTGAATTATCAGCTATATTGCCATATAGTGAAGTTTCTTTACAGTATTTTTTCATACAAAAATAATGTTTTACAAAGAGAACAAAGACATTTCTGATTTTCAGATACCAGGAAAAAAAATGTATGTGTATAATAATCCAGAATGCACTTAATAGACTAGGTCAAGCCTTGGGCGGGTTTTGTGCAATACCCGCCTGCTTATATCTTAATAGAAAGAAATCTTAATAAAGTGACTGATAAATAAATATAAATTACCTAATCTAATGGTGGCCTAAGACTTTTGCACAGTACTGAACATCTGTATTTTTTTCCAGAAAAACATTATGGTAATCTTTTATCTAAAAATAGTTTTAACAACACCTATGGCTGTTTGGTATATCCAGAAGCAAAAGACTTTTCTAACTATCTGGACGAAAAATATTCTGATTCCTGAACAAAAACCAGTATTGAGACTACATTTCTAATCATGGTAGCCAAATTGACCAACCATGGTTGTCTCCCTACATCATCACTGTATCCACCATAGCACTAACATGTCATATTTTTAGGCAAGACACACTTCAGCTGACCCCATAACACACCACAATAAATTACCTTTAGTTACTGTCACGAGCAGACACCCCTCGTTTCATTGTTTGTGTGACATATTTGTCTCCTGTCAACACCCAGGCGAGCCGACCTGGCCCTGACGCTCGGCACATCCATGCAGATCAAACCCAGTGGAGACCTTCCGCTCCTCACCAAGCGTAAAGGAGGCAAAGTGGTTATTGTCAACCTGCAGCCTACCAAGCATGTGAGTCTCATTTATGCACCAGCACACACATACTTTATATACAGAAGCATGGAATGGCACTTACAGTAAAATTACTGTGCACAAATCAAGAGATGAAATTGTGGGTAAAATTGTGGTTTTGCAGGACAAACATGCATACCTGCGTATCCATGGTTACACGGATGAGGTAATGAAACAGCTGATGGAGCTCCTGGGATTGGACATCCCAAAGTGGGAGGGTCCAACTGTCTGCGAGAGCTCCATCACCACCTCCACCGCTGATGTCAAACCGCCACATGGTGCAGTTACTCCCAAGAAGAAGGTGAAAATCATTAAAGAGGAGAGGAAACGAGAAGCAGTGCAACTAACACAGGAAGGGAGTGTTAAGGAGGACACAGTTTCAGTAAAGAGAGAAAGAGCAGATTCCCCTGTGGGGGATAAATGAAAAAAAATGGCCTAGGATACTTTTTCTAACACAGAAGAGAGATTGCCCACAAACAAACGATACAAGCAAGTATGCTGGGTTTGCTCAGTTACACGCAGGATGGAGGTTCTTGTCTAACACCCTCTGGAGCAAAGACTCTGTAGTGTAGTATAGTGTAGTGGTTTTGTTAAGTCCAGATTTCTCACCCTCCCCTTGCAGCCAGGACAAGCAGTGATGTGCAACTGATTCCTCACTTTAGGTGGATGTTGGCTTGGAAAGCTTTTCACAGTAATTTCACATTAATCATTTACCAGTGCACAGCCGGTGATGTAAATGTTCATCCCACCATGATGAGGACATAGCACAGGAGATCTTTTTGCATGAACTTTTAAGTGGACAACTGTTGCTCTTACAGACAGGATGAGATGAGATCTGGAACATGCAGTTATAAATAAAGCCTTTAATAAGGTACGTAAGGTTGCCGCACCTTATTAAAGGCTTTATTTATAACCAGGTGCTCCAGATCTCATTACTACACATCTTTGCCTTCAAAGACACCTTGATACTTATCAATTCTGGATATCTAATGAGCTGATGGAAAATTTTAGATTAAGCCTGATTCTTATTTTTAAAGTGTGTTACGTGAACACACGTCTCTCAAGTTTATAATTCTTTGTATAACATTTCCTGACAACAATTGTAATTTCATGTTGTTTTTTTTTCTTCAAAAGCCATGGCTTCTCTTAATGTGCAAAAGATTTCTGTTCCTCTAGTGAGATGTATAATGCTGTGTGTTTGTTAAAAAGGGCACCTACTGCAGATTGGCTGCCAATGGACCAGAATCACGTCTCTAGGAAATGTTTTTTATCTCAGGAAAAAAAATCACCGTACTCCAGATAATGGCGTTTTACAGTTTTTTACACGTTTCAGCAATAAACATGGTAAGTTCCTGTTAGAACCTCCTGTGTACACATGGTTTGTATGTGATCTGATTCATGGGTGGAGCCAGGGGATGACACTTCAGGTGGCAGGTGTCACCACTACCAGAGTCAAAATATCATACTTGTCAGTATGAATGAATGAAAAGTGACAAACTATGACAAATTGTTGACTTAAATACAACCTTTTTTCTGGTGCTTTATAATTGATCTTGGTTAAATTGGTTTACTTTTTATATTTATTTAATTTTATTACCCTTCTCTGTGCCCCAGCGTGGCCACCCCATATGATTTTATTTATTTATTTTTTGATTGGCCCCTGGTCTAGTTGCAACTTTATTAACTGGTGTTGGTTCAAATGAGATAATAATATATGTCTGTGCATTTGTCCTGGAAACTCATCAACATCTATAGACGCAGTTTAAAAATGTCACTATGCATCATTGCATTGTGGCTGAACATGGTAATCAAATCTACATTGTCACTGAGAAGAGGAGAGATCCCCCCCCCCCTTATTATTTGAGAGATCGGACCAACTGGCTGTTGAGCCTCAGACCTCCTGGACTGGGACGAGCTCCAACATGCATTTAAAAAGTCTCATCAGTCCATTATACAAGAAAAATCTAAACTCATCAGAAATTGTCTTCCTCAGATAGAGGCAGATTCATAGTTTTATTTTGCCCTTATGTCAAATTGAAAGAACTGCTGTAAAACTTCAGAGTATGGCTGGAAGTTAAAAATGTCAGGGTGATCCATCAGACACTGTTTTGATGCTCTTATACTCAAAACTTGAATTCTAGTCAGAATAAAATAATTACCTCTAACTGGGAAGTAAAATGTTCAAACTTGAGCTGTTACTGCTGAGTGAGTAGATTTTCTCACAAGTTTTCTCTTTGTCCTGATTCGCAGTATTTTTAATTGGACTGCCACTAAGACTGAACCTTTTCATTCTCACATGAGAGCAATGTCAGTCACTTTGAAAATGTTCTAATATTGTGCAGGTGCTTTTTGAAAATTAGGTTGTCTGTGCTCTTTTAAGACTTTTGCATTTTAATTACAATATATCTGAGTGAAAAGCTGCAAAACAGCACTAACATCTGCATTCACATTCATCACCACAGGTCTTGATGGAGATTATTCTCCTGAGAAAGGCAAATTTTGATTGGGCTGCAGCGCAGTGGCACTTGGGTGGAGCCTAAATGCTCAAAACGTTGACCTTAAATTGATGCCATGAAATGTTTTTGTCTGAACTTAATGGTAACATCACAGGTCAGTGTGTTTAATATTTCCTTTTTTTATTGCCCAAAGATCAGGGCTGTGATTACAAGTATCTTATCTCATGAGTTGATGGAAAAATAAAACTTGCAGTCCCATAAAACTGAAGAGAAAAACAGGTTTTGATTGTTGAATTATGGGTGCTTAAAAAAAAATCCACACGAGCAGAAAAGTGGACTGGACCAGCAGGTAAAATCTGTGTGTGTAAAAACTGCTCAAAGATCTGCAGATCAGACTGGTTGTACCGGGCAGCTTCTGAGTGTGAATATTTATGACTCCATTAAGAATTAGAGGTTGCCCCTGATGGTTAGAGCCTTTGGTGTGAGTCAGCGCCGCAGATGGTTGCCTCGGTTCTGTACTGGAAACAAATTCCTTGTCTATGTGACATACATGGTCAAATAAAGGTGATTATCCTTATAAAATGTAATGAAAGCAAATAACATTATACTGACATTTTCCAAATATTCAGACCACAGCCCTACGCAGCTTCTCTTTCCCCCGTTTTTTTTTTTTTTCGTTGAGGTGTTGATGTTGCCAGACCAAGTTGGGACAGACATAATGAATGACTCTTAGGTCTGCAGCTGCTGATGGTTTATAATGCTCTTAACACAAGACAAACACAATTTAAAACATAAAAAGCTAACAGCATGGTCACATATTACCTTTATGCATGTGTTTGAATATCAGTACTAAGGTGCAGATGTTGAGGAGGAGTTACTGTTTACAAATGACTCAATACAAACACATTAGACTTACAGGACTGGATGTATGAAAATAAACAACTGTCTTTGGCATTGGGTGAGATTCAGCTGTAAGTTATGCTTTGGCTGTTACAACATTTATATTGTGTATTTGAATAATTCATCGATGTGTCAGTGTTGGCCTTGCATTTTGATTTTAGGAAAAGTATAATAATAGTTAAGTATTAGTATAAGTATCCTCAAAAGAAAGTTAAAAGAGTTCCCAATTTCACAAGTGGCGTCTTCAAATAGATTTTTTTTTGTATGCACAATACTCCAAAAACATAGCTAAACATAATAAAACTTAATTTTCTGCCAATTGGTGACTAATGGGGTGGCACAGTGGAGTGGCAGATATCCCTGTTGCCATACAGCAAGAAGGTTCCAGGTTCGAGCCCAGGCCAACTCGGGGGTCCTTTCTGTGTGGAGTTTGCATGTTCTCCCCGTGCCTGCGTGGGTCCTCTCCGGGTTCCTTCCACAGTCCAAAAGCATGCAGCTTAGGTTGATTGGTGACTCTAAATTTCCTGTGTGAGTGGTCTTCTGTGTCAGCCCTGTGACAGACTGGTGTTCTGTCCAGGGTGTCCCCTACCTCTCACCCAAGGTCTGCTGGGATAAGCTCCAGCCTGTGTGCTTTAAAGACCTTCAGTTTTAGCAATTTCTACTCACGCCATTGTTTCCTCTACGATATGTGTGCACATATACAATAAACCTACAATAATGCATATTCAAATCAGAAGGGTTCATTTCAACTCTTTAATGTAGAATTATGCAGCAAGTAAAAACTGAGCTCTGCTGCCATGACCAGTTCAGTACAATTTGTTTATTGTCAATTCACAAAAATCTCTGGGGTGAGTGGATAGAGAGGGAACAAAAGTAAAGACAAAACAACAACAAACAAACAAACAAACATTGGCAGGTATCCGTGGAGTCAGGGATATGTCCCTGACGGTCGAAGCCGCGCTCTGTGCACAGCTCACTGGCCTGCCTCCTTATTTCCTTTTGGTTTTCTCGTCTATTCAGTCTGATTTTGGTTTCTCCTGTCCACCATACTCCTGAAAAGAAACAAATGTCAGACAAAATGAAATATTATTTAGAAATTCAGATGAAGTGGGAACTAATGACTACATATAATCATAAACATCATTAGATAAATTGATATCTACCATGCACATGAGAGGTCTTACTCTTCATCCAACCCTCCATGTCCACCTCTTCCTCACAAAGATGAATAGAAAAGAGGAGTTGTAGTTAAAGGTTTTTTAAAAAACAAACAGAGGCAGATGATTTGTTCATGACTACTATATAAAATTAAAGTCAGGCCACTTGGGCTTCTTCTTCTTCAGAATGCAGTGGGGATGAAAAAGACCAAGAGATGTGATTGAAAGCTCTTCATGATGAATACAATGGGAAGTGGCTGAAAGCTCTTGATGATGTAGGCGGTCAAAGAGATTAAGCTTTAAGCAGGTTCTGTTAAACTGCGTGCCACAGTTCTCATCTGTTTCTTTACTAGCTCAGCAACACTTTCTCAGATAAAATGGCTTTTAAAGGGCGATCTTTCTGCTACAGTACATGATCTTGGAACAATTTAGCTCGCGGCTTGCTTGCATGATATAAAATAAAACTAATTTGACCAATATCAATTATAAAGTACCAGAAAATGTTAGTTGTATTTAAGGCAACAGTTTGTCATTGTTGTTCATTTTTCAATCATACTGACAAGCATCAGTTTTAGTCTCGGGCAGGGGGGGCCAATCAGATTGTGGCCACCCCCTGTCTCTGCCCACGACTTTGACCCATTTCTGTCTGTTTATGTATAATTCATGCTCATCTCCTCTTTTTTTTGAAGTACCCATCTTGAGGCAGTAATAGCCGTAATCCAGTGGACATACAGGAATGACACTTTCATGAATCTGGTTTTTATCAGTGGGGCTCTGAAATGGCTTTCTCTTCTTGAAGATGAGTAGCTGGGTGCACATGAGACTGCAGTGCTTTTATCTGTCTGAAAATCACTTGTTTTCTACAAACTGGCTCTAAAATTGAAAGGTACTGTAAAAAATATAGGAAAGTAGTGAAGCTGCTCTCTGTTGTTTTGTGCTTGATAAGAAAACAGTCATTATAAAGTGAGTTCATCTAAGAGAACATGATCAATTCAGAGAAAATGATAACAGATGTCAGTGACAAGACTTTTTTGATTGCACGGCTGACAATGTGTTGGGCAGTTGTCGGAATGGGAGCACTGCATCGCGCAAAATTACAAATGACACGCTTGTTCTGAAATGACGCTTTTGATTGCAAGATGCAGGTTCCCTTGGTGACCCACTCAGCCAGCATCAGAGCCTCCTATGCAGAAAAATGAATAAATCCGTGATTCTGACTGATTGGAGAAGCAATTATCACAGTGGCACACAATGCGGTGGATGCAGTGCTGCGTGTGTGTGCGTGTGCGTGCGTGCGTGTGTGTGGTAATTGTGTGTCAGCCACTATCTGCAAGTAACTGAAGATGAATATCTGTGTTCAGACTTTAAAGGTTGCAAAAGGGTAAAAAAACGGAGCAGCTTTTGTGCGGCTGATTCATTTGCCTTCATGGTTTTGTGGCTGTTGTGATGCAGAGGAGATTAACATTCCCAAGATGTTACTAAACTCTTTTGTCCTTTTGCTTTATTTAATGTCACAGTGCACATGTGTATTCACAAAAAAAGTTCACAGCAATACAGCTAGGCAGACAGAGATAAGCAAATGGCTGACGGTTTCATGCCAGCATCAAACACCGAAAGACTAGGTGTTCTAGAGTTAAGTTCAACTGCATATAAAGTGTAAAGTGTGTCAGGTTCTTGTGTCCTGACTGAGTTAGCAACAAGAACAAAATATTAAACACATTGATCTTAATGAAAATGCAACAATATTACAGTCTTCATGATTGCATGTATGGGTGTTTTAAAATGCACAGTACAAAAATCACTTTTCCGGTTGAAATATTCAAACAACACCTTGTATTTTTTTTCCCACTAGAGGGTTTGATTATTTTCCAGAATGTACTTGTAATTCACCCAGGAGATCACTTCCAAAGGAACATCTGTTAGCTGGAACCAGTCCCAGCCAGCACTGGGCGAGAGGAGGGGACCACACTGCACAGGTCCTGAGGCCGTCACAGGTCCAGAGACAGACAAATGCTCATATTCACACCCATGGGCAATTTGGAGTGAGCCTTTTGGTTTTCTCGTCTATTCAGTCTGATTTTGGTTTCTCCTGTCCACCATACTCCTGAAAAGAAACAAATGTCAGACAAAATGAAATATTATTTAGAAATTCAGATGAAGTGGGAACTAATGACTACATATAATTATAAACATCATTAGATAAATTGATATCTACCATGCACATGAGAGGTCTTACTCTTCATCCAACCCTCCATGTCCACCTCTTCCTCACAAAGATGAATAGAAAAGAGGAGTTGTAGTTAAAGGTTTTTTAAAAAACAAACAGAGGCAGATGATTTGTTCATGACTACTATATAAAATTAAAGTCAGGCCACTTGGGCTTCTTCTTCTTCAGAATGCAGTGGGGATGAAAAAGACCAAGAGATGTGATTGAAAGCTCTTCATGATGAATACAATGGGAAGTGGCTGAAAGCTCTTGATGATGTAGGCGGTCAAAGAGATTAAGCTTTAAGCAGGTTCTGTTAAACTGCGTGCCACAGTTCTCATCTGTTTCTTTACTAGCTCAGCAACACTTTCTCAGATAAAATGGCTTTTAAAGGGCGATCTTTCTGCTACAGTACATGATCTTGGAACAATTTAGCTCGCGGCTTGCTTGCATGATATAAAATAAAACTAATTTGACCAATATCAATTATAAAGTACCAGAAAATGTTAGTTGTATTTAAGGCAACAGTTTGTCATTGTTGTTCATTTTTCAATCATACTGACAAGCATCAGTTTTAGTCTCGGGCAGGGGGGGCCAATCAGATTGTGGCCAGCCCCTGTCTCTGCCCACGACTTTGACCCATTTCTGTCTGTTTATGTATAATTCATGCTCATCTCCTCTTTTTTTTGAAGTACCCATCTTGAGGCAGTAATAGCCGTAATCCAGTGGACATACAGGAATGACACTTTCATGAATCTGGTTTTTATCAGTGGGGCTCTGAAATGGCTTTCTCTTCTTGAAGATGAGTAGCTGGGTGCACATGAGACTGCAGTGCTTTTATCTGTCTGAAAATCACTTGTTTTCTACAAACTGGCTCTAAAATTGAAAGGTACTGTAAAAAATATAGGAAAGTAGTGAAGCTGCTCTCTGTTGTTTTGTGCTTGATAAGAAAACAGTCATTATAAAGTGAGTTCATCTAAGAGAACATGATCAATTCAGAGAAAATGATAACAGATGTCAGTGACAAGACTTTTTTGATTGCACGGCTGACAATGTGTTGGGCAGTTGTCGGAATGGGAGCACTGCATCGCGCAAAATTACAAATGACACGCTTGTTCTGAAATGACGCTTTTGATTGCAAGATGCAGGTTCCCTTGGTGACCCACTCAGCCAGCATCAGAGCCTCCTATGCAGAAAAATGAATAAATCCGTGATTCTGACTGATTGGAGAAGCAATTATCACAGTGGCACACAATGCGGTGGATGCAGTGCTGCGTGTGTGTGCGTGTGCGTGCGTGCGTGTGTGTGGTAATTGTGTGTCAGCCACTATCTGCAAGTAACTGAAGATGAATATCTGTGTTCAGACTTTAAAGGTTGCAAAAGGGTAAAAAAACGGAGCAGCTTTTGTGCGGCTGATTCATTTGCCTTCATGGTTTTGTGGCTGTTGTGATGCAGAGGAGATTAACATTCCCAAGATGTTACTAAACTCTTTTGTCCTTTTGCTTTATTTAATGTCACAGTGCACATGTGTATTCACAAAAAAAGTTCACAGCAATACAGCTAGGCAGACAGAGATAAGCAAATGGCTGACGGTTTCATGCCAGCATCAAACACCGAAAGACTAGGTGTTCTAGAGTTAAGTTCAACTGCATATAAAGTGTAAAGTGTGTCAGGTTCTTGTGTCCTGACTGAGTTAGCAACAAGAACAAAATATTAAACACATTGATCTTAATGAAAATGCAACAATATTACAGTCTTCATGATTGCATGTATGGGTGTTTTAAAATGCACAGTACAAAAATCACTTTTCCGGTTGAAATATTCAAACAACACCTTGTATTTTTTTTCCCACTAGAGGGTTTGATTATTTTCCAGAATGTACTTGTAATTCACCCAGGAGATCACTTCCAAAGGAACATCTGTTAGCTGGAACCAGTCCCAGCCAGCACTGGGCGAGAGGAGGGGACCACACTGCACAGGTCCTGAGGCCGTCACAGGTCCAGAGACAGACAAATGCTCATATTCACACCCATGGGCAATTTGGAGTGAGCAGTCAACCTAATCTGCATGTCTTTGGACTGTGCGACTGTGCAGTTCAGGTTAGTATGCAACCTGAATTTACTGAAGGGTACTGTATGTATGCATGTGAACTAGTGGAAGGATGATCATGTCAGATAGAAATGAAAAGAAAATGTGGCTCACAAAGTTGACTTCTGAAGCATTATTTTTTTTAAGTAAGAAAGTAAAACGCTGACATTTCAGAAAATACACTTATGTGCTTTCTTACTGAGTTACTGTATATGAGAAGAATGACATCGCTGTCATTTCATTTCTTTTGACACCTCAGCCAGGATATGACTAACTTAGCATACAGTAAAGACTGGAAAAAGGGGGGAAACATCTAGCATGCTTCTGTCTAAAAGTAACAAAGTTCCCTTATCAACACCTCTAAAGTTCACTAACACATTGTATCTCCTTTGTTTATACTGTAGAAAAACCAACCCACTGCCAGGCACCAGCAGGGACTTCAGGGAGTAACTGATAACAACAACGAAACAGTCCAGCACACAACCCTGCATAAAACTGTAGTTTGTTGTTTTTACTATTTGTTTTTTGTAGAGAGTACTGAAACTAGATACTATATGTTAACTAGTGAGCCTTAGTGGTACAGATGGGTTTTATGAACAGAGCTGACTGTTTCCACTGTTAGGCTTTATGCTAACCTAAAATAACCAGCTGCTTGCTGTAGTTCCATAGTTAACATACAGACAAGAAAGTGGTATTAATCTTCTCATCTCAACAAGTACAACAGATATTTTCCAAAATATCAAACTTTCCCTCACATGTTCACGTCTTTCTCTGTCATGACCAGACTGGACGGTGCTTCCTCCACTCTTCTCCCTTTCAGAGCGAGGCTGAGAACATTTTGGACGGAGCGAGACACTCTTAGCAGAAGCTCTTTCAGTCCAGCTCTGTACTCTTTTCGGATCAGACAGTAGAGCACAGGGTTGAGGCAGCTGTTTGCATGAGCTAGACACACAGTCAGGGGGAAGGCATAGGCCTGGGCATTGTAGAAGGCTTTACTGAAGGGCACCATGTCAAATTTGATCAGCACTCCCCACAAGGTGAGAGCCTGGTTGGGCAGCCAGCAGATGAAAAAGGACAGAACTACAATGGTGACAGAGCGAGTGATTTTGGAGCGGCGGCGTTGGCGACCCCTCTCGTACTCCGACCCCTCTGTGAGACCCTCACTGACCACACTGCCTACAACGTGCCGGCTCAGGATGAACCTCAGAAGGAGGAGGTAGCACACAGAGATGACAATCAAGGGAACTACAAACCCCATCAGGACTTTCTGTGTTTGATAGAGTCCAAGCAGCACTTGGGGATCCCAGTGGCCTGAGAACCGCACTATGCAGAGCTCGTCATCAGCAGATATCTGCAAACACAACAACTGCATCAGAGGCTCTTCTTCCATAACAGAAATTATGTACAGATCGACTTGAAGATGGTGGTTCAGCATACCTGGACTGTGGTGGAGTAGAAAGCATGAGGCAGTGTCGCCACCAGTGACATCACCCAAACGGCTAAACTGGCCCACCTGGCCCGAGCAGCAGCGATCCTGGGGCTGTCCATCTTCAGGGAGGTAATCAGGGAGCGGTAGCGGGTGACGCTCATAGCAGTGAGTAAGAAGACACTGGCATACATGTTGAGGACAGTGACTGAGCTCACAATCTTACACATAACCCAACCAAAGGGCCAGCGGAAGTCCAGCACCGTGTCCACGGCCCAGAAGGGCAAGGTGAGGACGAACTGGAGGTCTGTCAGAGCCAGGCTCATCACGAAGCAGTCGACTGAAGAGTGGTGGTGGCCCCTGCGGCGGGAGCGAAGCAAGAAGAGTGCCAGGAGGTTACCCACAAGCCCCAGGATGCAGACTGCCAGGTACACAAGGGCAATGAGAACTCGCACCTGTCAGACACACAATAACAATTTTATCAGTGTTGGAAAGTAACTAAGTACATTTACCCAGCTACTTAAGTACAATTAAGTACTTAAGTACATCAGACCCAGATCACTACAAAAATAACAGTATCTCTGGTAGAAAATTCACAAACTACCCAGCAGACATATGAGCTAGTTAATTCTAGCTCCTCCTTTAGCAGTGGCAACATTAAATGTGTTGTACACAATAATGTCATTTTAATCTAACAATATTAAATGTGCCATTCTGCAAAATGAGCCCTTTAAGTATGTTTTGCTGGTAATACTTTTGTACTTTTACTTTAGTAACATTTGCTTTTTTTTACTTGTAACATAGTATATTTTTTACACAGTGCTATTGGTGCTTCTTCCACCATCATTTTTATCTGCAAAAGGCAATTAAAGCCAAAATAAAACCCTCCTGCAAACACTTCGTGTCAGCACTTCATGTCCAGGTGGTTCATGCTTAAAGAGCCATTCGTATCATATTTGATACGCACGTTTCTGAGCAGATAGAAATCGCCAAAAATGCCCCATGTATCAAATGTGATACCAAACAAAATAAAAATATTCTAAATAATATGGCACATTTATTCCTATATGCCTGAGCGGTCTCTCTATGCATAAATGGCAAATAAAAATCTTGAATCTTGGATTTTGAATCTTAAATTTTCTTTTGGATTTTGTTAAAAATTTAATAAACATCTCATGTCCGAAAAATTGGAGTGTTCTGGCTAGTTTTTGATGTGTTGGGCTTTACAGGGTTAATTGCTGCCTTTATATTAACATTATTAATTTGTAAAAGTCTTACTGCCAGGCTCGGGCTGTCTCCGTGCATGTCCAACGAGGACTCCTCGGTCAGGATGTGGAGCCAGCAGTTCAGTGAAAGGTTAAACGTTGCCAGGTTGGAGGCTGCGCCCGAGCGGCTGACTAGTTTGGAGAGTTCGCGCTCATCCTCTTCTCCAACGCACACGCTCAGAGGGGTCGGGGGTCCGGAGCCGCTGCTGTTGCTCTGCATGACTCGACAGAGGAAAGGGCGAGTTTTAAAAAAAGTTCCACAAATTTTCTTTCGGCTTAACTCCCAGAGTGTCGGTGCGCAGTTGGGGATGCAAAAATCATCATCGCTGATGTCCTGTAGTCTGTCTAGAGTTCAAAGTCTCCGAGGGAGTTGCGTATTTTATCCGAGTGATTTCTGAGCGTCTCCACTGGCATTACATTGTTTTTCCAAGCAGGAAAAATATTAAATGAAAGAATGGGGTCATGTTCAGCCAGAAGTCTGACATGATGCAACCTGCTCTTCCTGTGTTGCTGACAGCATCTTCAGACTGAAGGCTTTTATACTGTCGGAGCTCCTCTCCACCTGCTTGATGGCGCACTGCCTGAGTGTGCACAAGGATGGCCTCAATAAAAAAAAACCTGGAAGAACATGCACTAGTGTTTTACGTTTCCTTTAAATTAAACCTGCGTTGCTGCTCATCTTTTGCCATAATCTTGCATTTCATTGTTTGTGATTTCTTTTCGATGGAGAAAGGTAATTATTGCCTCATATGTTATATCCAAATGTCACCTTTAATTCTCTGGCATTAGATGTGAAGCTAAATTATACAACATGGCGTGTTCCTACAGATTTCCTTATCTTTCAGGGGATTTGCTAATGTGCATCTAAAATGGTGCACATCATAGGAATGAGAAATTACATTTCAAACAGCTTTCACCCGTTGTGAGGGAGCCAGAGAGGACAGAGTGAGAGATGTGTGTCTGATTTGCATTTCTTATAGGTCACTCTTGGTATTCACACAATGCACCATTTGTGTGTGCATTTAATGTTTACCAAATGCACACATTTGGAGCCAGTAAAGCCACTTGTCTGCATTTGGCTGAAGCTTGAAGCTTAAAGATGTCTCACTTCAATTTCATCATCTCCTTCTTGTTCTCTTAAGATAAGATGTGTAGCCTAGATGTGAATGAAAATAAGTTGTTTTGTGAAAGAATGAATATTTCATGCATTCAAGGTGAAAACACAGTAACCCAGATTTTATTTATGTAAGGATAACATCACATTTTAATGAATGAGAATGACCTTGAATGAGCTGTAAGCTATATATACGCCTTAGTCAGCTGTTCAGAAACAGGTTCTTGGCTGACAAAGGACATCAGTGGTCTCCAGTTTTGTCATCCTTGGGTGGAGAGAGAGTCTCACAGACAAAGTGACTTGAATTCACACTCTCTCTGCATTCTGCAATTCATAAAACACAGCAGCGGTGAAAGGTGGATATCCAGTCAGTATCTCTGTGTCCATGCCTCAGGACAGACACAAAGGGTCAAAAAATGTTTCAGTTAAAGCTTTTCACACAACATATTGTTTCATTATAAAACCAAGTGTTGGCAAAATCTGAAAAGAGAGCAAAACAATTCTACAGTATCTCAAATACCCTCAGAACGTAGTCAGTAAAACTTTGACCAGTACCACAAAAGGTTACACTATAGTTTAAAAATTGAAAGTCACCGGGTTGCAAGGGAGAGCAGACGT